AGTGCTCTGTCACCCTCACAGGAAAGAAGTTCTTCCTCACATGGAGAAGGAACTTCCTCTGTTTCAACTTTCACCCATTACCCCTTGTCCTGTCACTGGCCACCACTGAGAGGAGTTTGGCCTCACCTTCTTTACATTCTCCCCTCGTATGCTAAAACATTTTTTCAGTGCAGAGGGAATTTTTCCTTTCCTTTTATTAGGCATTAACATTATGGGGGAAAGGGTGGTGGGAAAGGCTATTACTGGCTGTTTAAGCTATTAATAATTATACCATTTGTCATCTGCCTTAGTACAGACATCTTTAATTTATATTTTCTTTTTTTAAAAAAGTTCAGGAGATATAAGAGATAAAAAGTAGTAAATGTTTCAGTAGTAATTCAGGCCTAAACTAAGGTTTTTTGGTAATTGTGTCCAATGTATTTTACAGGTAGTGACGTAAAAATGGTGTCGTTTTTAAGTATTGGCTAGACTGCTGTTTTTAAAATTCTGTTCTTCATCTGTGATACCAATGATAATGTAGTCATATATATATATATATATTTTATTTTTTTGTTTCTTTCTGCTTGCAGGAGCCATTGAAATTAATTACTGATTAAGCAGTAATTTTTCATTTTCGGCCTTGCCAATAGATCTCTGACATCCTTATCCTTAGTAGATGCCCATTTTGCTTCGTGTTCCTATGCTTAGTGATAATAATTTACAGAAAGGTGTTCAAGAATATCGTTCAGTTTAAGAACATGTTGAAGCGAGTTGTTAACTCACGACTCCGAAGCAATTGAAACACTTAGGTATTTAAAAATAATCTGAGAAGGCAGCAGTGTCTGTGAATCTAATCTTGTACTAGCTTTTTTTAACCAAGTAATTCTACTTTTTCGCCCAACTCCCTGCAGAGCACAGCATTGTTTAGAGGAAGTGCATAGGCGTCCAGGGGAAGGTTTTGAGCATTGCTCTAGCTTTTAAATGCAACTCTAATCCATATCGTGATATAATGGAAAAATAGAGACTAACTGGTTAGCAGAAGCTCTGGTAAAGCCTTCAGAAAGCATTTGAAGAAAAAAAAAATCTTAGAACTGGTTGTTAATCTTCCTGAAATAACTTCAAATGCTTCACTAATTGACTTTGGACAGTTTTTACTTCATTTGCCACTCTTTGGGAATTCCAGTGGTTGCATAGGCAACATGTTTTCTTGATTTACTGAAGCATTGGATGATGTGCAAGTACTTCAGTTCTAACTGTGCAGTTATGCTGACTTGTCAAAGTTCAGGGAAAAAAAAAAAGCTTTGTAAAGTAAATATCAGCTACAAAATACTTGCTAGAT